CAAAAACCTGTCCCTGAACAACAGATTTTATTTAGCTGTTTGTGCTTTTGTTAATCAAACTTAATTTATGATTTAAAAGGGGGCCAGTCAGTTTATTTAGATGTTCTGTTTTATTATTATTATTATTTATTTATTTATTTTATTTTTTTTTACTTCTTTAAACACTTTAAACCATCATTTCAATATTGCATTTTGTCTTTAGTCAGTTTATAATATCAGAATTTGTTTCCTGGTCTAACAAAAGAGGAGAAACCTATAAGGGATCAAGCCTCTTTTCACACCACTGTATATTATGTTTCGGCTTACAGATGGATTTAACTTGTGAGATTTTTACGAGATCACTCAAGCACCAGAAGTATTGCTTGTACCACAGTTTGAAAACCCTGGTGTAATGAACACATCAGCAAATTACCTGCTCCATGTCTTCAAGCTGTTTTTCCATCATCCGTAGGTAGTTATCATTGTGTGATGGAGCAGTTATCACCCACAGTCGCTTCTTACCTGGAGGGAACATTGGAGTTGAATAAAGTGTAAATAGGCAAATGGATGCATCAGCTGATTAGCTAGTTTCTCCTGCCTGCAAAGTCAGCCAGGAAATCCAGCTCAGGAGCCAAGTTGGATGATGGTTCCCTGACTCCTCTGTTTTCCTCCTGTTCTCTGTCCTCTTCCAGTCCAAGTCCGTGTTCAATTCCAGCTGAGAGATCTGAGTAATCCCCCCAGTCTCTCACATTTGGGTCCAAATCAGACTTTGGCTTACTTCCAGGAATGCCTGGCCAGGCTGTGGTCAAACCTGTGTAGCTGAGGCTCCACAAACAAAGTAGCGACACAAGGAGGTGCGAAGTACACAAATGCAACATCTTTACTGATATGGCTGAAAGCGAGTTTGATCATGTGTCAGAGCGCCGCTGCTGCTTAAAAATGTCATCTGGGATAAAAAAAAAAAAAAAAAAATTTGCGGTTTTTTTTTTTTCTCCACTGCTCGCTCTCGGAAAACAGAGCAGCATCCAAAATACAGTGGAAGGACCTCCCAGTCACACAAATGATTTAAAAAGAAAGAAAATTCACAAAAACCTTGAGTTAATAAGTTTCCAAACTTTGCATCCTGAACCTCAAAGCCCCTCTGAGCATTGCAAAACTTTGCATTCTGAAAAAGGAAAGACAGAGAAGCGAATCAAATGTGGAATCTGGAAAGGACAGCAAAGACTGCTGGGATCCTAACTCCTCTCGCCAGCCAAGAGACTGATTCTCATTCACAGACACACTCCTGGTTCACATTATAGCCCAGGCTTGTTAACAGGAAACTCCTGGAATTTTCTGCAACTTCAAAGACTTTTCTTGAGGAGTAGAAAGAAAATATTCTCTCACTGCCTCTCTTCCACTCTCTCACTCTTGTGTTCATGCATGTGCACACATTATCTGTGTCTGAACAAGATACTTTTTTGTTTATTGGCAATCCAACAATCGTCACAAATGCAGATGCACTCTAACCAGTGCTCCAATAAATGCACATGTGCACATTTGCACTCAACACTAATTCAGAACGCTGCTGCTGGCGTTCTCACCAAAACCAGGAAAATGCAGCACATCAACCCAGTTTCAAGGTCTTTGAAAGCACTTTTGAACTACATTGCTGTATGTGCAAACAAACATGAACTTGTATATGTCAAAGAAGCTTGTTGTTAGACAATTTAAGTCAGAAAGTTGGTCAGAGTGAAGGTAACCAGGCTGCGACACCTTTAATCAAGAGAACAGATCTTCACATGCAGCGTGTTCCCCGGAAACAAATGCAGAGCTAGGAAAATATTAGATTAAAAAACGAGTATCACTTGTGAAAGATGAAAGTGACGCAACTTGTTTGACATGTTTAGGGATTTTAATTAGAAAAGATAATGTGCTGGTTAATGTGCTTGTGTAATAGAGGAAAGCAACAGAGAAAGGAAGCTTACAAAAGTGACCTGTGGTAGAAAAGAAGCGGGAAGTTCACTCTGCAGCCAGATGTCCAAAAATGGTGACAGAAAGGGAAATGACAGTAGATCCATAAATACACTCAAAGATGAGAACAGATGGCGAATCAGAGAAAAGTTCAAGCTGGATAAAACATGCTGACTTTGAAAGAAAAACTTGCGCAAAGCCAAATTAGTCTTTAAGAATTAGTTCCAAAACAAAGCAAACACTTATTTCACAATTGCACCCCACAATGTTTAACCTCATATTTGTGCATCACCAAACAACTTAAGAGACCAGCTCAAATGCAAAGATATCGTAGAGTTCTCAATAATACAGCATAAAATCAGGAGACAAATTTAGTTTGACATGAGTTCCATCTAAAAAGCAGTTTTTCAGAAATTGTGATTTTTGTTTTCATGTTTATGTGATGCATTGTGTTGTTAACATGTATTTTGTATCTGTGATTTTTTTATTATTCATTTTTATATTTTCCAGAAAAGTAAATTCAGTTACTCTTTGTATGAGTACGTATTTATCTTAATTTCAATGCCTAAAGGAAATAACTATGCAAAAAAAAAAAAAAAAAAGCTTAAAGCAAAGAAAGTCAGCACAAGCCAACAACACGGCTGAAAGTTCTTGAAATGTTTACATACTGACCGACACAGAACGTGGCCTTCAAGATTCAAGATTTACTTTATTGTAATTCAGCACCACCTCAAAGACACAATGCAGAATGAAATTATGTTGCACAAGTTTCATGTCCTTTTGCATAAAAACACAAAAAAACCACTACAGTTTCTAAAAAAAAAAAAAAGCAGGTTGATGAACAGGTGCCCCATTTCCTCCTGACAACTGTGTCGCCATACTCAGGCGCGGATCTATAGGAAGGCTGCTGCCCCCCAAACCGGGCCGGATGGGGGCCCGGGCCTGGAGGTGCCAGGGAGGGAGGAATGGTTTCAAGTCATTGAAATATGTGATTATAGACAGAGAAAGTGCGCCCTCGCCTGTTGACAAGGGTGTATTTAATATTAAATACACCCTTGTATTTAATATACAAGGGTGCTCAACAGTTTCAGTTTCACTCCACGTAAGGGGCCCGGTGATTGGTTAGGGGCCCGGTAATTGGCCCCGCCCCCCGGCCCGACGCTGACTTGTTCCGCTAGTGGCCATACTTATTTGAAAACCATGCAGTAGATCAGTGTTTTATTTTTTAACTCTGGTCCTCAAGGCACGCTGCCTTTGCATGTATTTGGCATTTCCCTGCTTCAGCACACATGATTCCAATTGATTAACAGGCTGAATTGCAATCATCTAAATGTGTTGAAGCAGGGAAACATCTCAAACATCCAGGTCAGTGTGCCTTGAGGACCAGGGTTGGGAAACACTGCAGTAGATAGTGACTGGAAAGAACCAACAACTTTCAGATTGCAACACAACTACTATTTTTGTTTAACGTCACTTGCTCTGGGTGTTATTGAGCTCATCAGAGCCGAAGCAAAAAATAGGCGTCGAGTCAAAGGATGTTTAACTGAATGTGGAAACTCTGAGGAGTGATCTGCTGATTGTCTGGTCGAATATTTATTCTTGCTGAGCAAAAAAATGCTAATGATGTACTAGTTCTCCTTTGTAAAATTTAATTATTTATAAATACACACGGGCTTATTTTGTTTGTTTCAGTGTGGTGTTATTTGAAGCAGTTACAAGATGTGCTTGGACTGAAATATCATTGAGTGCTAGGTTGCAAAAGTTGGTAAAGATGGTAAATATATTCTTCCGGTTGCCCCTTGAGCTTAAAGCGGTGTCTCAATCTGTTATTTTTTTTAAATAGTTTCTAACTGAAAAAAAGCAAACAAAGACAATTTGTTTAGGGGAGCTATCTGCGGGTGCAATGCTAGAACAAGACGCAAGAAAAGAAACTATGCATTCTTCCCTCAGCGCCTGATAAAGAGAACCAGATGAACATGTGTAAGTAGAAGAATACAGTCAATGCAGTTCTGTTTGTCCTGCTAGTTTTAAATATGCCAGAGCTCAAACACAAACCAATGTGTGCAGTATATAAAGTTATTAAACCAGGGCTATTTTGCATATGAGGGACCAGACTGCAGTACACAAAAAAAAACAAAAAACAGACAGATAGAAATAGCAGGAACGCCTTATCTCAGGCACATTTATTGTGTCTGAGACCAAAGAAAGGGTCAAATGAAATATGATGTGGGCTTGAACTATTAAAATCTTCCTAAAAATGAGTTTCCAAAAAGGAAAGAAAATTATTTCAGAACATAGATAGCGCATTGATCATTATACCACCCACTTAGTATTTCATTTATTGGAACAGAACATTTTGCAACACACTGATAAAAATATCCTATCATTGGTATGTCATCCCCATAATACTCAGAATAAATGTGTTTTCTAAAAACACCTCCTCAAACAGTGAACAAATTTATGTTTGTTTACAAAAAGATTTTAAACGTCAGACACGTTAATGATTTAGTTTGGCACAGCCAGTTTGCTTTAGGGATACGTTTAATATGAGATACCAGGTTGGTTTGTGCAACTTCTTGCCCCCTTAATAAATGAAATTATAATTTGTATTAAGCCTAAGGATAATTTTTCACATTTGTTTTGTCCTTATAAACATAAAATGAACTGAAACGATGGCTACCCCAGAACGCGGAACAAATGTCCTTCACAGTTGGGCTACAATAAAGCGACACACAGTGGAAGCTTATGGACGTGCACCCTCAGGACAATTTATTTTTAAATGACCGGGAATATTTGACTCGGAGTATTTTGACTAATGCGTTCATTGGGGAGTTTCTTTACAATTGCCTATCTGTTTATATCTACGTAGTGCAGTTTTCTTTTTAGTTTACATTTACGTCAAATCTTGCCTCAGAACATGCTTTCCGTATCGTTCAATAAATGTAATAACACCCACAATTATTACATGTTCACTTAAATCATAATGAACTGAAATACACAAGCTACGACAGGTTATTTTAATTTTTTTTCTGTGCTCCGTCACTGACCGCGGTGCCAACACGTCAATGTTTCCCTGCGGCCGCTGATCCGCCGACTCCTTCCGGGTCGACGGAAAGTCGGCTGTGCTGCACAGATCCCGGACTGTCTGCAAAGGTCAGTGAAGGTATTCGTCATTAACCTCACTTGTCACACTTTTCACTTTGCATTTGTTTAGTTTCGGGCACATTTGAGTGCGCAGTGGTCCTGTTTTGACTCATCGCCTACTACAATGAAAGTATGGGGATTTTGTTTTCTACGCCTCTCAGCGCGCCAGCCGGTTAGCTAGCTCATGTTAGCTCCTCTGTTCTGCAGATAGAGAGAGAGGGGACAAAAAGAAAGCGGTGGAGTCAGCATGGATGTGTCGCACAGAGGATCTCCATTGCTGACTAAAGCACATTAAATTCACACAGGTTCTGTGAATAACACTGTTGGAAAACAGTGTTGTTGCGGGGAAGTCATTGATTTGAGTTGTTACTTTCCCTGGATTTAGAGGTGAACGGGCAGCTGTTAGCCAGACCTCTCTAACCAGATTTATACTGCTTATTCTGTAAATGTTTGCAGAAAAAGTACAAGATGCATGATTGGAAAACATGGTACTACATGCTCTTTTTTCAAAATGGTCAAATCTTTATAATTTTATTTAATTATTTAATTCCTTTTCGCATTTTTACAAGATCTGATTTGTTCTTGTCCTTATAATAAAAATTGAGGATCCAGTCAGAATCAGTAAGACAGACCACAATGATAGTGAGAAACTGTTAAAGGAAAAGCCTGATTTATGCATTCCTAATACTATATTGGATTGGATCAATAATATATTTTCTACATAAATATGAAATTAAAAAGTCTAATCTTGTTGCAGTAAATCACCATAAAGAAATCACAAGATGCAGCATTATAAGTATTAGCAGCAAATATAACTGAGTAGCTGGTAATGGCAAATTACACTTTTGCTTGATAAGTGCTCTGAAGGAGGTAGTTAAAAAACAAGTGAACACGTTTTGCCCCAACTTGTCTTTTTCCACTGGGACAAATCGTAATGTCGGTTCATTTTACTTTGATTTCGGTGTCCACATTGCTTTGTGTGTGCGCGTATGTTTAGCATGTACACTTAGTTGTCCTCTTTATTGAGGTCAAAGAGTGGCAGAGAGAAGTTTATAGCCTGTTGCTAACCAGTCACTTCTAGAATAAACCTTACTATACCAGACACAGAGTCCAGTTTAGCCTGTTGGATTATCTTGATGTATAGTAAACAAGCCGTCCCAGATGCTTGGTATTGATCAGTGAGCTACAACCTAAGTGAATGGTTGGTTGTAATTTTTATTTATTTATTTTTGCCAATGCACATAACATAACCCCACTCCTCCCTCTTTGAAGCTATATGGAACAAACAGACAAAGTAGCAATTATTTCTTCTTTTCCTGCAGGGTTGAAGATTTTTCTGTTTAAAACCCCCTGATCGCATCAGGAAATGTATTGACGTGTCTATTTACCTTGTCGGATCCATTCTTTCCTGACCTCTACTAATTCCCCACCTCCCTCCTTTGTTTTTCTTCTGGCACGCATCCATCGTGACTCCTCCCCAGGTCGTCAGCTGTCGGTCCCGTTGAGCTCCTGCTGCAGTGCGAGTGTCAGGCGTGCGTGCACCATGGCGAGCCTCCTGCGCGTCGTGCTGTCCAGCTGCTCAGCCCCCGTGCTCGGGGGCGTCTCGTCCGTGAAGGTGCAGACCAGCCCTGCCATCAAGTCAACATGTGTGCGCTTCTTCCGGACTCATCAAGCGCTCTGGCGGAGCACAGGTCCAGGTCAGACACAAAGTTTAATCCAAAAATAGTCAAATAAAAGTAAGATTTCATATTAGAAATGACTACATTTATAGTCCTAAGCAACATGCTGCTGGTGAAGTATTTCTTCAGTGAAGACTCTCTGCAGAGTCATGTTGTGTTTGCTGACATGAAATTCCAACACAAGTATGATTTCTTTTGAGGAGTAAAGCTGATTTTTAGATATAATCTGCAACCTGAGGAAATCCAACTGTTTCAAACAATCTGGTGGTTTGGCATAATAAAAACGGTAAAACTCATACATGCATTAATAGTCTTACATATATACAAAGTTTTGTCTCTTCTTAGCAAAGTTTCTCACAAAGTGCATTTTACAATCAGCTAAGTTAGAGTCTAAAACTACAGATATGCCTCCTACCTTCATAAATAGTTTCTGCCTGTATTAATTCCATCTCAGTATAAAGACACATTTTACAGAATACTGAAAGCAATTGTGGCATTATGTAAGCCATTTGTACCATACCCACAATGAGACACTGTTGTGGCAGGATCATGATGTGGGAATACTTTTCATCAGCAGGGACAGGCAAGATGGGTGGGGTTAATGAGAAGAAATATGGAGCTAAATACAGACTTTAGACTGAGATATGGCACTCTGTTCTGTTTTTCATTTGTGCAATTTGTGAAAACCTTGTATCTGTGTCCCCCCACTTTACTATTACGCACACTTATGACAAAATGGGGATGTGAGTACATTTGCAAGGCTGTGTAAATAGAGCTCAGCTACAAACATGAAGGCAACACCACCTGTAGCTTTGGTGGAAAGTCTCATTAGTTTGTGTTCAGCTGGACGGCTTTAGCAGTGTTGTTGTTGTTTTTACTCCTGATTTATTTAAAAGTTCAAAGTTGCTCCCATACTGCTATTTAATTTATCATCTTTATCTATAGTAGTGTTACCTGTTAATTGTTCTTCAGTACATGGTTATCTTTGAATAGCTGCTTTTAAAAAAATGCATTCTTTTTGTAAATGTATAGGCATGGAAAACCAAACTGAGGACAATTTATTTTAAAGTACTACAGGAAGTGCTACCGTTTATTGTTTTTGAGCTTCAATATCACTTTGAGGATACTGCTGCCATTAATCTGACGCAGCCAGGAAGTGTGTCCTATGAACCGGTGCTAGCTGGCTGCAGGAGCTTAATGTTTGCGTGTGTTTGCTTCTCCTTCTGGTTCACGGTGACAGAGGTTGACATTCCTGCAGTTCAGACAGGTCCAGTAACAGCTGGCAGCGTCTGTCCTGAACACACAGCCTCAGACGAGTTTCTGTAGAGCAGGCACAGGCTGTGTGTTGATATGACCTAGCTTTGACCTCTGTGGACTTATCTATACTGGGATTTAAAAAAAAAGAGAACACCCAATATAATTGTATTATTGACCTTTAGCTATTTAGACATTTAAAATCCCTTTAAGTATCTTGCCATTGAGATGGATTCTCACAGAAGAAAAGGGAAGGAACCCGAAATGTATCACACTTGTGTTTATATGAAGAGAAGGTGGAAAAAAAAGTCTGAGGTGGAATTTTCCATTGCTGCTAATGCAGCATGTGACCTGCTTGTTGCTCAAAGATTCAGAAATAGCTTTCTTCTCAGAGGGCGCTGAACTTACTTGATTCTGTTGTTGTTTGCCTTCTTTTTATTCCAGTTTAAATCTCATGAATGTATTTTTAAGCCAAAAAGTATAGGTAGATTTTGATTTAAAATTGGTTTCAATAAATCTAACTTGATAAATGAATGGAAAAGGGGTGTTGTTTTTGTATTTTATTATAAAAAAATCCATCTTCAATATTAACGCCCCTTATAAATAATCAATTGAAAATAATATACTTTTATCATCACTGGCATGTTTTCACTGGTGTTTTGATTATTAGTTCCAGTTCTTCTTGCCATCATTGTAATCTTTGGAGTCTCTGCTAGATTCAAGTTGGGACTCTGGCTTGATTTTGGCAAAGCAATAATAACACTTGCAAGAATAAAAATATTAGTAAAATTAAATCACTACTTTAACTTAAATCTGCAAGGTGTATGATTATCTTTAAGCTTAGCTGTATGTTACAAACAAAACAGCATAATACTGTAAACTGAACTTGCAATATTTTCAGGAAACAATTTGTGTGTTTTTGTAGAGGTTGCTTTTTACCACATGTAATTAAACTGAATAAACATTAACCTGAAGTTCAGTATGTTTTCTGTAAACCCAGGGTGTTCAAAATATGGCCTGCAGGTTATTTGTGGTCCTCTGAAAAACATTGCGCGGTCTTTGACCGCAATTCAGGAATGGTAAAAGTATGGTCTGCCAGCAAAGGTCATTGATGAATGGATACTATTATTATTATTTATTTTTTTTTAAATCCAACTAAAATGTATGTCAGGTAAACACATTTGTCTACACCGATTTATGAATTATTTTCTACAACAACCCTAACAAGAAAAAGTGCATGTAATGGACATGGTGAAACATCTGCCCTATCCTTAGCTAATAAGTTAAGGGACTGGAAGTTGTTTTTTTTGTTTTTTTCTAAATAAATTAGTCTTCTGCAGTGTAGCCTATTCTGACTTCTTCTGGCAGGTTCTCATTTATGTGCTTAAAACAATAAATTCTAGTGTGTTTTATGTATTTACTGTTTTGGGTCAATTTCTAATTTTGAAAAATGCTCAAAAGATTTAATCAAATAGAATCAGTGTCTGCAATCATCATCACATTGATTTTAAAGCTTTTGTTTGTTTCTATTCTCCAGTTTTCTATCAGTCAGTCATGAATGTGAGTCATTGAACAGTTGGACCTTATCTCAAATGTTTTTGGTCTTCCAGGAATCCCATACAAGCAACTCACCGTTGGCGTTCCCAAAGAGATTTTCCAGAACGAGCGCCGTGTGGCCCTGTCTCCAGCTGGTGTCCAGGCTCTCATCAAGCAGGGCTTCAATGTCGTCGTGGAGTCCGGAGCCGGAGAGCCCTCCAAGTTCCCCGACGAACAGTACGCTCAAGCCGGAGCGACAATTAAAGACGTGAAAGATGTGCTGGCGTCCGACTTGTTGGTGAAGGTAGGCTTTCACTGACGGAGGAGGAAATAAAAAATGTGAGGTGGCTGAAGAGGGAAAAATTAATTTAATCTGTAGTCAGTATTTTCTTAGTGGATCCATCCCACAACATATTTTCATAGCCACCTGATAAAACAGCTGACATTTGTGAGAATTAATTTACATATTTACTTTTAATTTAGACTTATTGCAAGGTTTTGACTTTTCTCCGTAATGCAGGCAGACAGAAATAATAATCTAAAAAGTAAAATAAGCAATTTAAAAGCAATTCCACTGAGTTAGTACCAGTATCTGTCTATGTGTAGAATGATGTGTGTTTTTCTCAACTGGATTTGTCGGGTTCCAGGTCCGTGCGCCCACATTTAGCCCTGCTTTGGGGGCTCATGAGGTGGACTTGATGAAGGAATCATCGACTTTACTCAGTTTCATCTACCCAGCTCAGAACCCTGAACTGATGGACATGCTGTCCAAGAAGAAGGCCACGGTCCTGGCGATGGACCAGGTGCCCAGGGTCACCATCGCCCAGGGCTACGATGCACTGAGCTCCATGGCAAACATTGCAGGGTAGGTAGACAAGCTGGAATGTTCTGCATTTAGATTTTCATGTTCTGGTTCATGGACCAGAATATGTTTTAATACGAAGATATGTTATATTTACATAACATGCTTATATTCTGATTGAGAATACCAGACCTTAATAGCCATGGTTAAAATACAAACATCATGATCAACAAGCAAAAAAGAAAAAAATAGAAATATCGAAGAGAAATCTTCTTTATCGTCCCAAAGTGAGGAAATTCAGGAGTACCATCAGAAGGTTGCAAAGAAATTAAACCAGAAAAAGATAAGACAAAGAAATTGAATTGTAAGAGCAATTTATAGAGTAGGAAAAAGTAATACTGCACAGTTGTTAAACATATGAGGAATGTGCAACTGAATAGGACTGATTGCATGTGTATATTTGTGCATTGAAAGCAGCGATGGACGACTTACTTGAAATTAAAAGTTGTGCAAATAGCAGCAGGGATGTTAAAACCTGTTATTAATAGTTTATGTCCATAGTCAAACAGCACTTTTGTATTACTGTCATATTTCTAGATAAGTTGCACACATTTTTAAATATTACTTTATCAGCTCCTACAGTGTTTTTCGGTAAGCTGTCTATGTTCGGCTTAGACTTCAACATTTTCCCTTTATTTTTGTCTCCAGATACAAAGCCGTCGTCTTGGCAGCCAACAATTTCGGACGTTTCTTCACGGGACAAATCACAGCAGCTGGTAAAGTGCCACCTGCAAAGGTAAGGGCGGAGTGACTGTGCATCGATCTGGTGTTCTCTATCCGTCTACTGAGTTGAAACCGTCTTGCAGCAGCATTGCTTTAGTCACTCCCAGCCTTTTCTGTGAACAGGTGCTGATTATTGGAGGAGGTGTTGCAGGTCTGGCAGCTGCTGGCACCGCCAGGGCCATGGGAGCCATCGTCCGAGGATTTGATACCAGGTTGGTTTGCGTGGTTGTTCTGAATCATTCACCTGAAAATTACGCTAAAACAAACAAAGGTTTGTACAGCAAGCTGAGCAGTATTTGAATAAAATGACGTATTGTTTTTGAGGAATTTGTTTATTGTTAGAGATGAGGGCTTTTAAAAAGATTTAAATAAAATGTAGTTTTGTTGCTATGTTTGAAAATGTTTTTTCACAGTTTTATTTCACAAAATAAAGTATTTTGTTTGACCGGTAATTCAGAATACAATGTTGGCCATGTATTGTTCATGAATAGATGTTTTTTTTTTTTTTTTTTTTACAAATTTTTATTACATTCAGTGTTTGTTTCATAATCATATTTCCAACAACTGTATCCCCTTTTTTCACGTCATCCCCTGTCTCTTCCAGAGCTGCAGCGTTGGAGCAGTTTAAATCCCTCGGCGCAGAGCCGCTGGAGGTGGACATACAGGAGTCGGGAGAAGGCCAGGGAGGTTACGCCAAGGAAATGTCGAAGGAGTTCATAGAGGCAGAGATGAAGCTGTTCGCCAAGCAGTGTCAGGAAGTGGACATTGTCATCAGCACGGCTCTTATCCCAGGTACGCTGTTTTTTTTCTCCGACTATTGGGAATTTCTCACTGACGTTAGGGAAATAGTTGATATAGTTAACGTGACCAAAGATTTACATCAACCTTAGATGCCTTACCTTTGACATTTTTAATGCCATTGTCTTTTGGGTTTGTTTCTTTTTCTTAAAATTGTAATACGGCAGGTAGGCGGGCACCGATTCTCATCACCAAACCAATGGTGGAGAGCATGAAGGACGGTTCAGTGGTGGTGGATATGGCCGCTGAGGCCGGAGGAAACATTGAGACCACAGTTCCAGGAGAGCTGTCCGTACACAAGGTCAGTGCAGAGCAGCAGTGTTAATAGAAAAACTGGAAGAAATTGGAAATAATTTATGTAATATGTATTGGTTTTTCTACATTTTTCAATTTGTGATTATCTTAGGGAGTGACTCACATCGGCTACACAGATCTGCCCAGCCGCTTGCCAACACAGTCCAGCACTCTGTACTCCAACAACATCACTAAGCTGTTGCGGGCAATCAGTCCAGACAAGGAGAACTTTTACTTCGATGTCAAGGATGTGTTTGATTACGGGACCATGGATCACGTTGTCAGAGGATCAGTTGTCATGCAGGTATGAGGGCTCGACTAAACGTCTTTTTCTGATTCTGTTATTTTTTTTAATGGTGCACATATGTTACAGTTGCGGTGCAACAGAAAAAGAAACAAGTGCCAAGTTTATTTGTTCTGAATTTGAACAGGAAATAACTCACAAATCAAACCTTTTAGTGAGGAAACTCTAATGCTCCAGTACAGCGCATGTAGAACAAGACATGCATTTTTTTTTCTATTAAATTTGATTTAATAATAAAAAAAAATACATGGGTGGCTGATAGGGTCAAAAAGTTTTATCCTATATTTGGCTATACTTTCAATTTTGGTGTTTTTCATATTACATTAATTAGAATGTATTGTTGTTGCGATAAATCACATTTCTTATTACAGTTGTAAATCTTTCACAATGAAGATGAATGATGTGATTAACACACATCTCTACCTACAATAGGAAATATGTCAAACAAAAAGTTTGATTACATTTAAAGACGGAAGTATTCTTTTAGAATATAATATGAAAAATTTAAAATATTCTGAAACTTTTGTTTAAAATAGAAAATGGAAATTAATATTTTCCAAATTGACAATAAAAAGAATACTCATCATGATTTACCCAACATCAGGCATTTACAAACAGTGGGCAAAAAATGCCTTCAATTTTGTTATTTTTAAAACTAAAATCAATATATGACATTTCTTTGTTTATCAAGGAAATATCAGTTGTTTTTTTTATTGTGAAAACCTCCATTATGCACATAATAAATGGAAGAATATTTTAAACTTGTTAGCTAACAGTTGAGTTTCTTCCAGTTGATGCTTTGTTTGTCCACTGAGACAAAAGATAAAAGTGCATCAGGTTTCCAGAGATAAGCAGCATTTCTGTTGACCGCCACCGAACAGCATGTTCCAAACAGACACATGTTTGCTCCATGATTGATAATGTTACATCTCCAAATTCTTGTTGCCATTTGTTGAGACTCAAGATCTTTGTGCTTATTGTAAAATCTGATACAGGAAATGGTGTTTTAATCTTTCAGGATTATATCTATACAACCTTATTTAGAAAGTTTTGCCGTCTGAAAGAATGAGGCATAAATACCTTAGTCAATTAAAAGAATGACAGTGCCTTCAGTAGTCACTAGGTGTCACTCAAAGACAACATTATCTTTTCCTCTGTGTTCTCAAGGTGTTTACAGCTACAGATGAAGGTCATGTCCTTAATAAGCCTTAATTTAATTCTAAGAAAAATAAAAACACACTTCGAATTTCTAATATATTAATAATTAAGTCAGTAAAATAACATAATGGCTTTGAATGGTTTAAATTCTCGTCTTCTGTTTATTCGCTACCCCATGCTGCTTCTGTTTTTGCCTTCATTTCTAGAACGGACAGAACTTGTTCCCCGCTCCTCAGCCCAACAACGTTCCCATCGCAGCTCCTCCTAAACCCAAGACGGTCCAGGAGCTGGAGGCCGAGAAGGCCTCACAGGTCTCCCCCTTCAAGGCCACACTCACCACAGCTAGCTTGTACACTGGAGGTTTGTAGTTCTGGGCGAGTCTGATTGTCCCGCTTTAATTTGATTCTTCATTAGAGAAAATTGTCCAGATTTTTCTTTCATCACTGTTAATGGTTAGCAGCGGCTCCTGAGGGAGGCGGAGGCGTGCTGAAAGGTGAAGGATGGGTTAACAAGCCGCTTTTCAAGTCGCTGCTGGAATGTGTGCAGGAGACGAGAAGTGACAGGCGCATTTCGGAGGCTTTAACGCGAGCGCACACACACGCACACACACCTTTTGGTCTCAGGAAGTGTGCATTGTAAAATCAGTTTTATGCTGGTTGTTTGAAGTAGAGCTCTGGTGAGGGGTTCTCGTGGTCCTGCACAGCGCTCGGTGTGAGTTCACCACGTGTAGCTCTGTGCTTCTACTGGTTGTCTAGATGTTGGAGTCGTTTCCTGCTAAAAGCCACACAGCTGCTGATGTTGGCTGCTGCTATAACCGACTTACACTTAGTTAAACAGCTATTAGTCAGCAAAGAAATGCAGATTTCACAAAGGTTGCTATAATTTTACCTTCTAAAGTATTATAACAATAACTTATCATAGTCATCATGATGAACCAAATGAATTGTTCTTTTCATTTTTATAGAAATGTGGGCTGTGAAAGCTGACATTCACATTGGGGACGTCTGCAGCAGTTGCAACATGTTTTGCATTGAGGTTGTATGTTAGGACTTTGCTGGACAGGCCAACTCCAGCTATAGTTCTTCCTGGCTTCCCATCAGATCGTTTTTTTTTTTTTTAAGCAAAACTCAAACCCCCACTGGCTTTTTCATCCATCTCTGTTGTTTGCAGATGCCACTGGTGCATCAGATTTAAGGGCATTTCAGAAATGCAATGCAAAGATTTGCATGTTAAACAAAGTGATTAATTGTGCTAAAATTTAATTGAAGTCTAGATTTATGTCCTCTCTTTCTGTTACAGGTATCGGCACCCTGCTCGGTCTGGGGTTGTCGGCTCCTAACGCCGCCTTCACCCAGATGGTCACCACCTTTGGTCTCGCTGGCATCGTGGGATACCACACGGTTTGGGGAGTCACTCCTGCACTGCACTCTCCACTCATGTCTGTCACCAACGCCATCTCAGGTTGGTGACCATTTCAAACCTTTCACACGAGTTTCTGACATGTAACATTGACCCATCCGTCTGTTGACTCTTGGAAAAACAAGGCTGCAAAAGTAGCAGCTGGCAACTTTAAAAAAAAATACTACAGGAAATATGGAACAAAAGGCTTCATAAATAAACTTTTTAATTTTTTGGTGTGAGTTTTTAATTCTAATTCTGAATAGCAGCATCTATAGTAGAATTACAGACGAAACAAGAAAACTGAGTGCATTGCACATAAAGTCTCTTTTGTGTTTTTGTCGCCAAGAGGTCGAAGAGGTTCTCAGGGCTTTGATCACGATGAAGCCGGAAGCAACACACTGTTGGTGATCTTTCAGGTTCAGGGAGATCTTCCCTCTTGAACACAGTCGGACATTTTTGCTCAGTTGTCGAGGAAACCAGCAACGGACATTTAAAACTTTACTATACATCCCCAATGACCTCTAAAGCTGTTGGTGTTTTTCTTTGCCTGTTTTTGCTGCTTTTTAAAAAAAAATTATGATTTCATTGCAAAACCCCCCCACAAATCTTCTTGAACACCACTTGCACAAGGGGAACGGGGCCTGAAGTTTATTTCAAAGCTTCTTTGACCCGTGCCTGCCACCTAGTTCTTCTTTTTCCCCTCACTGTCTGTTCTGGGTCCAGATCTTCTGTGGTTGTGTAAATGTCTCACTCCTGTCACTGAATGGCTCATGGATGCAGTCAGATCTTGTTGTTTTTGTGCCAGGCATTGTTAACACACACACGCACACACACACACACGCACACACACACACACACACACACACACACACACACACACACACACACACTCTAATACACAATCGTTAGCAGACATTAGAGAACCTTGGTGGAGTTTAGAGTTTTAGTGATGGACAGTTATATTCTTCGGGGAACATTTATAGTGTTACTTCCACTGGTGACCGGCCAGTGGGTCAGCCTCGGTTCTTTAGATACTGGTTTCATATCCAGTCGAAAACTAAAAGCTCATCTGTCACGTCTGTTGACTGGGGGAGAGAAACTTTAATCTACTTGAGAGCACTGACTCTGTGCTCTTTGTTCCACGAGACCTCGTTTTTTTGTCTCAGAGCTGTGATATCAAAGTTGATCAAATATACGCCTGCGCATGTGTCATAGTTGGCATCAAGGTTCGTCTAAATGACATGACTGGTGCGTTCATTGTTGGGGTCAGACAACGCCGTTGGGTTCCGCATTAGGTGTGTAACTGGATACGAGACGGTTTTTGATTATCTGCATCTTTGATCTGCCGTGAACTAGCTTGTCCTTTTACTGTCTGGCTGTTTATTAATCTTTTTTCCAAGAAATGTAGTTCTAATTTAGCAATAATACTACAAAGCACTGTTAAAATGTATTCCATCCTTAAGGATTTTTTTTTTTTTTAGAAAAAGTCTCTGTCTGTTCAACCCTGATCTTTTCATCTAATAATTTGTCTGTTCAACTGTTCATCATCCAACCGGCTGTCTATCTCTCCAACCGTTTGTCCACCCATTTTATCATCCATTCATCTATCCATCTGTTTGTCTTTAATCAGTCTTTTGTTCAGGGAACCTTTGTATTTGTACTTAAAAATAAATGGGGAATGTATGGTCATTTAACATGAGAAATGTGCAGAAACCTTATATTCAGATGTTTGTAGAACTTGTTATTCTATCAGATTGTCTTCTAGCGCCGTATCTACATGTTGTTTCTTGCTGCGTTCATCTCTTTGATTATAGTACAGATTTTAAATGAGCTTGTAATTGCATAATAGAAGTTGAGAAATGATGTTTGGCAACATTTGAAACTTTGTATAAGGCCTGATATACAAACATGATTGTAAAGCTAGCGTTTGGCAGAGACATAAGGTCAAACCTCCACCTTCTTTTTTTTTTTTTTTCCCTTCTGTTGAGAAGCTAATCTAGAATTGCAGACTTCAACCACAAACACGCATGCACACAAATGCACACACCTGTTAGTCAAGCTAAAATGCACAGAAATGTGTGTGAAGGCAAGCTCTCAGTGCCGTGTATTGCATTTTACTGCCTGTAAATCATTACAGGGATGATGTTATCAAGGTTTCCTGAGTCTTTTTGGTTAAAACACACACACATACTCTCTCTCTCTCTCTCTTTGTGCTTTTTATCGTTTTATCTTCCCCTCTCTTTCTTTTTCCAGTCCGGCAGGCAAACTGTTTTCGGAGCAATGTGTCTGTAGAGGTTCTGATAAACAAATCTAATAAGTGTTGATTCAACGTTTAGAGTTCCTCCCTTTTATTCGGCAGCTTCGCCAAAAAAAAGGTTTTTTTTTTTTTTTTTTTCTATTGCCATGTCCTTTATTATGAAGATGTAATTTCATGAACACTGACACACGTATATGTATGTGTATGTGGTCTGCAGGTCTGACGGCTGTGGGTGGTCTGTCCCTGATGGGAGGGAGCTACTTGCCATCTACTACTGCAGAGACATTGGCCGTTCTTGCTGCCTTCATCTCTTCAGTCAACATTGCCGGTGAGTCACCCAAATGCAGATGCCTCACAGTGACCCGGGCCAGTTACAGCAACGCCGAGCCAAAAATATATCAACTTTACGCCTGTGATCGAGTTGGTTCACGTCGATTGCACCAAAACATCATTTCAGCTGTCCCTTTTTAGCCAGTGGCTAAGGCTTGGACCACACACATCCAGTCATTTGTCTCCCCTGAATAATTCCCTTTACGATGATAAATAATTCCTGAAATCGTTAGTATACTCATCGCGCTCTAATAATCCTGGGAAACCATGTTCTTCCACACTTTAATTTCTGCATGCTAACAGGAGGCCTTCAGGGCAAACCTACGCAAGTAAATGAACAGCTGACAGGCATCATGTAATTGATCATAACATAGCTTATACAGCACAAGGTATGTATTACATACTTGTTACTTTTTCTATGTTTTCTTTGGGGACATTTTTAAGCACTTTGCCAAATTTCCCCCCAAAAACTCATGTGAACAGAAAAAAAAAAAAAAAAAAAAAACACACACACTGCCAACCGAGATGAGAAAACAACTCATGAAATCTCATTCTCACAAAACAGAACTTGAAATCTTAACGCCTAATTTGCTCACTGATAAAATTTAATTCATTTTAAAAAATGTATGTCATTGAATATCAGTGTTTTTTATTAACTACATCTAGTCTTTGCCCTGATGTGTTTTATCAGGATTTCTTGGAAAAGAGAAAATAGTGTGGAGAAACATTTGCATTTCTGGACTTCTAAAAAAAAAAAATGTTTTTTTTACAGTTAAATGATGGCATCAGTAAGGCTACACAATATATAGCGAATGTATCTTCATCTGTCTGCACAACATTCATATCACATAGGACTGGTTGGAGTCCAATAATTTTATTTAACCTTTATTTAAGTCGGTGAATTATTAAGAACAGATTTTTCTTTACAAAAATGACCTGGCAGTACCAATAATTGTTGGCCAATACATGCCAGGTGTAATGAACTTGTATTTTTCATGCTAATATTTAGCCAGTGGGCCAGAATCTCACAGCAGCCGATGCTTATATCACAACTGATATCATCAACACATTATTTACCAATAATACCACCGTCGCAAGATTTTTCAATACCGCAAAGTCCTCCATTCACACTCGGTTTGAATTTTTTACGATTAGCACAGTTTTCAAAACACTGCAGTCACTCAAGTGAAGGATTGATTTTTATATAAACTATTTTGGTCTTTTATGATCTTTGGAGTACACAGATATAGCATAGCCACTGCACTTTTCCATTTAAGAAATATTTGCACTGAATAGTTTAACTTTACTTATGCAAACAGGGCCCACATATAATCTGAGTCCCTAGCTGAGGGATGTTATTTTTAGTTTTGTAAAAAAAATATCCGTGTCCACACAGACTCTGAAGAACACAGAAAGGCCCACTTCGCTCTAGTGTGTAGTGATAATATCTAAATTAACTACATCAAAATTCAAAGAGCAGATCTGCAACCTGAGGCTCCAGAACCACATGTGGCTCTTTGGTCTATTGCTGGTCTTATAAAACCAAATAAGAAATGTTTTTAATTATAAAGGCAATGCAGAAGGGAGGTTTTAGCAGTTCTTTGCAATATCTTCCTAAAAAGAATGGCACCAATGATACCAGGCTTGTTTTGATAGGCTTCAAACCGGGTGTTTTTATTTTTAAAAGGACTATTATTCTTTAACAAACTGAGGAAAATAGCTCACTAAGCTTGTCCTATATATTTTTTCATTTGTGAAAGCTGGATTAATTATTTTCTAAAATCAGACATGGAAATAGTTTTGTTAAATAGGTTTTATTTTGTAGCATTTTAAATTGAAAAGATTGCTGACCCCTGGCCTAGATCAGGTGCAACTGGGGAAAGCAAAATGTATAACAAAGAGAGATTAAATAAACGTTAAGGTCTGTAAATATAAAATGGTTTGTAATGATAATTGAAGGGGAAACACTTAAGCCACACCCAGGCACAAAACATGCATACACATAATTTACAAGTTAAACTAAATGTAAGTTAATAGATCTGGAAGCCTACCCCTCACCTTGTTTCATACATATTGCACCCTTGACCTCAAACCTTAAATATTTAAAAGCTCTTTAGAAAAAAATCTGTTTAGGTTTTCAAATTTCTTTTGCTTTCGGAGCCTTTATTTTATTTTATTTTATTTCCACCAGTGGAGTCATTCTTGGTTAAAATAAACCGCAAAGGAAATGTTAAAAGAATATTATTGGATTCTGGCCGTACATTGCTTAAATGCAATAAAATTCCTCCATATTAATATATTTACTTAAACCTGTCTGCAGTAATAGGACTCTATATATTATTCTGTGTTTTTAAGCGGGATGTATTTGCTTCGAACAACGAGTACCTGGTCGAAACATAAGCTAACCTCAGGTTCACCTTTTATATGTGTGTGCATGTGGCTACAATCATACCAGACAGTAATGTGATCTGTTGGTGAAACACTGGGACACTGGGAAACTTCTGATGTTTCTGTTGAATTGGGTATAGTGACATAAAGTAGACTCATTAAATTCCTGACATTTGTTATTGAACTTGGCAACAAGTGGAAGCTGTTGGCTCTGCGGCACCTGTTGACCTCTTTCAGGTGCTCCGACTGGCAGCCTGCACACTTCTTTTTCTTTTTTTCTTCCACTTATTTATTTTGCTCTTTGAAATAGATTTTAAACCTTATTTATTTGCAGATTTGTCTGTTAAGTTCATAATATATATATATATATATATATATATATATATCTGTCTCATCCCAGGTGGCTTCCTGGTGACCCAGAGGATGCTGGACATGTTCAAACGTCCCACTGATCCTCCTGAGTACAACTACCTCTACCTGCTTCCAGCCGGCGTTTTTGTTGGCGGCTACGCCGCTGCTCTGCAAGCTGGATACAACGTAGAACAGGTGAAGAGTGATGATGGTTTCGTAGCCATGTGTTCGTAGAGGATTTGTGGACGTTTTGTCTGATTTGCTTTAAACGGACCAGAGTTTGCTTCCACTGTTTGGTCTGGACAAAAGTGCACTGATGCTGTCTAATCGGAGCGATGATAGTCGCAGGTATGGCTTTGTTTACAAATTATAGTCCGCTTGCAAAATGTTAAAGCAAACTGCACCAAATGGAAAAAATAAAATAAAATAAAGTTCACTTCCGGACCAAACAAGAGGATCAATTGACTTGCCTGCTGTGGAAACCCCCTGAGAACTAGTGGGAAACAGACCTTGAATGCATCTTTGTTGATCCACATGTTGTACAACCGGAATTATTAGATCCTTCTTTTCCTCCACAGATGATGTACTTGGGCTCTGGTCTGTGCTGTGTCGGTGCCCTGGCAGGTCTTTCCAACCAGACCACCGCTCGCCTGGGTAACACTCTGGGAATGATCGGAGTCGCAGGAGGGCTGGCTGCCACTCTGGGTGCCCTCAAACCGAGCCCCGAGCTCCTGGCTCAGATGAGCGCAGCCATGGCTGTGGGTGGAACGGCCGGTGAGCGCGTTTGAATTTACTTGAACAGAATAACCTGAGAGTCTTGAAGGCAATGCCTAATACTTGAAGAATGGTGCTGCGGCAGATGGACGTGGGGCTTTCTGTTGTTTTCCAAGCTTAGGAAGATTAAGAAGCAGGTGTGCTCAGGGTTTGTGATGTTTACATCAAACACGGCATGACTAACTCTCCAGATGCCTGAGGTCTATCTGAACAACCAGCGTCGGGTATTACTCACCAGCTCTCCGCTCTGGGACAGTTGGATCATTTAAATGCTAATTGTTCCAGTAACAAAGCTGAAATCCAGACTAAACTATCCGCGCAACTAATAATGCTCTTTACCAGATATAGCCTCGTTGAAAGGCTTCCTGCGGGACATGTGTGTGCACAAACACACTCACTGTAGGCCGACAGAAACATTTCCCAAGGTGGGCCTCGTCAGCAGCACCTGGCTCTTCCACAGGGCTCACTTCCCGGCAGTACTCTGAGTGTGCGTGCTTGTGATTCTCATGGTATTTATGCTCGGAACCTTAAGGGGCATTCTGAGTTTTTTTTTTTGTTTTTTTTTTTGTTTTACTTCATCTTTTATGTTTCTATCTCCAGGATTGACCATTGCCAAGAAGATTGAGATCAGTGACTTGCCTCAGCTGGTGGCTGCATTCCACAGCTTGGTGGGGCTGGCTGCGGTGCTCACCTGCGTGGCCGAATATATGATCGAGTACCCTCACTTTGCCACGGACCCCGCGGCCAACCTGACCAAGATAGTCGCCTACCTCGGCACTTACATCGGCGGGATCACTTTCAGCGGCTCTTTGGTGGCGTACGGCAAACTGCAAGGTGAGGCGAACTGAAAAGACGGTCCGAGAACTGAGGCATCCGAAGCCTTCAGCTGCTAAAATCAGTTTGTGGAGGAGCACAGGAAGTCGTCTGCATCATCCATCCGTTCGTCTGCCCATGCATGCGTCCGACTGAATCGGTCCATTCTACTGTCTTTTCTTCTGATTTTGTCATTTATCAATCCATATATTCATTCATCCTTTTGTAACATCCATCCATTTGTCTCCTGTCTTTGTCCATTGATTTTTGTATCCATCCATTCATCTTTTGGTAGGAAACTTTAATATTTATGCAGCAGAGAACTCTATAAACTGGATTCTGCAAAAGGATGGAAAATTTAAAAAATGATCAGTGTATAGAAACTCGGCTTGAGATTCTGCCTTCATCAGTGCAGGGCTCCTTGTAAATATATAAATTAATGCTTCCAACCTGAACGGATCTCAGAGCTCATTGAGGTCAACTTGCATGAAAAGTAAGCAATAAATAAAACACATCTGAAAACGGTGGCGAACTCTTAGACTTCCCTCACCATCAAGTTAAGTATAGAGATTAGTACTAATGGGCTGTGATTATCGTGAGTAACGCAATTGTATAATTTATTGCAAATGGCCGTGAAGCGGCCTAATTAATAGACGAGTTCTAGTTTTAGAGCAGTATTTGTTTTAGTAAAGCTTCTGGTGATTTTCCATGACTGATTTTTAGATAAAAATTTATTGAATCTTAGCATTTTATTGTCATTCACAATAAATACACTCTGCAGATAGGAAGTAGGATAGGCCTAAGTTATTTAGAATACTTCTGCATTATGTGCTTAAAATGATTTAAACGCGTCTGTTTTTCTGCTTTATACCCACCTGCCTCTGTTTTTTTCTGCAGGCATCCTGAACAGCGCTCCTCTGATGCTTCCCGGCCGCCACGCTCTCAATGCCACGCTCATGGCTGCTAGCGTCGGTGGGATGGTTCCCTACATGCTGGATCCAAGTTACACCACAGGCATGACCTGTCTGGGATCGGTTTCTGCCCTGTCTGCCGTCATGGTACGCTGCATCCGTGTTGTTGCTTAGATCTGTTGTCTCTCTCAGCGTTGGGCTTTTTTTAAAAGCAGAAAAACCTGGACATCACAGATTGAAATGTTCTTACATGTTGACTGACAGGCTAAACATGTAAGAATGCTATTAAAAACCTCAATAAACTCCAGGAAGGAGAGCTAGTTTTTAAGAGTCATAAAAAAGGCATGTTGGAGAGGGGAAATAAGGAGAAATGTAACAAGAGTGGGAATTGTTAATAAATGTCAAGTCACAGAAAACAGGAGCTGTGTGGGAAGTTTGAGTAGAGCAGAAGCCTGGCAGTCACAAGCAGACAGGTTTGACACATTCCTTCGGATAAACTAATAATTTCTCAGGACTTAAAAGGTTTTGAAAGGTTTTGATCTCACCTGGCTAACAGACAATTTTTTCCCAACTATTCATTGCTTATTTATTAAAGAAATCTTACATTTTGTAAATGTTTTTCAGTAAAAAAAAAAATTCTAATGAATCATATTTTTAACCAAAAGTTTGGGTTATCAAATAAAAATAAAATAGCTTTAGGTTATGCATTAAAGCATTTTTTATATTTTAATATAGATCATGCTCATGCAAATCTGAAGAGATTAGACATAAATTCACAGTTGTGATTCACAAAAAATAGAAAAAATTCAGCCTTTTCTTGCTTAAACCAGCAGCTGGAGTTTCAGGGTCACTGCATCCAACAATTGGTTTGCTGATTATTATCTCAGCTTCCTTATTTGTGGACCTAATCAGTATTCCAAGTACAGTGTTATGAATCATCCACTGTAAATGTGTGTGTTGTCTTTTGCAGAGGCTTTTGAAAATAGACCTTGCAGGTGGTCAAAAGGAACCATTTATGAAGTCTGAGCTGAAATAAATGAAACAGGCAGTCTCGGATTTCGTTGGTTCTTTGGTAACTGCAGTTGGCCTCTGCTAAACAACAACTGCACAAATGGTAGAGGAACAAAGAGCATCTGTACCTAATTGTGAAAAATGTTTTTTCTCCAGGTGGACGTTTCATTTTTTTAAGCATATAAATCAAATAATAAAGCACTAAACCAGCTAGTTTTATTATTATGTGTAATCTGTGGCTTTCACAGATATAAGATAATAGGTAATTAATTGTATGTACCTGTTCAGTTATTTTCATCAAGTGTAAGGTAAAGGTAAGTGTAAAAAAGTAAAAATAAAACAAAAAAGTGGGACGATCAAAAACAGGTTGTTACTTAATGATTTTTTTATTTTTTTCGCGGCTCAGAAGCCGTTTCACCATTGCTTATTATAGCAGTTTTATTCAGTAAACCTGTTCAGTAAGCAGGTTTGAATCTGAAAGAATGAATTTTCTAATTAAATCATGTTATTACAAATGCATAGGAATGTTGCTTTATAGGCATAATGTCGCAAAAGTTAAATTTTTCTCCTGTTTAATGAAACATCCTCATTTTCCTCCTGTCCTTCAGGGCGTAACTCTGACTGCGGCCATCGGAGGAGCGGACATGCCGGTGGTCATCACTGTACTCAACAGTTACTCGGGCTGGGCGCTGTGTGCCGAGGGCTTCCTGCTGAATAACAACCTGCTCACCATCGTCGGCGCTCTCATCGGCTCCTCTGGAGCCATTCTGTCTTACATTATGTGTGTGGTAAGTAATGTACAGTTTAAAAAAAAAAGTCCTAGCGTTTAAGATTCAGCAAGAAATGAGCTACATTGATGATTTTGTTTTGCTTGGCTGGACAAACTGTTGAATGTTGTTCCTTTCCTGTCCTGCAGGAGGGACTCTTTACCATTTTAAATGTGAAAACCTCTTTTGACTCCTTTTGATTTGCGTCTTTTATCTGTACCTTCTTATTATAGAAAAAGTGGTTTTATTTGGGAGACAAATGTAAATATTTTCTGCCTTCTTAGGCCATGAATCGTTCGCTTGCCAACGTGATCCTTGGGGGTTACGGCACATCCTCCACCGGGACAGGAAAGCCCATGGAGATCACGGGGACACACACAGAGGTGAACGTGGAACAGACTGTCGACATGATTAAAGAGGCCCACAACATAATCATCACTCCAGGTAAAACACACAGAGGTCTGGTCCATGAGTGGAAAAACATGGCGCTCTGACTTTTCTCGTCACTTTTCTTTCCCCGGCACGAGCAAAGCGCCTTCTGTTTGTTTAACCTCGTCTCAACCTATGTTGCGTCACAGTTTTCTGGGGTAATTGACAAGTCCCGGCAGAGTGCGCACAGACACAAAAACACCCTCGCCTGGTTTTCTGTGTGGTCGGCAGTAAATAAGACATTCTACACTATGTATGCAAGGTCAGAGGGAAATTAGACGAGATGAAGCTTTACAGGGTTTTGTTGACAACTATCATCCAAACTGGCCTGTAGTTCATTTTTCAGGGCTGATGCGTGGGGTCTAAACACAACCTTCGTTCCAGCTGCACATTTCTCTGTTTCACATGTTTCTCATATTTAAGGGTGACGCAGAACGTGTCACGGCTTCCCGTACTCTCAGCCTGCTGCGTGAATTATTGGGTGGCCCCAGACAACATTCGAGTCCTTTCCTTAAGACCGTTGTGATGCTTTCGGGGTTACCATGACTATGTGGGTACAAGTAAACACAGACTTAAAAAGCACCTATTCTGCAAATTGGCCATTCCAGTCACAGAGCACAATACCAATTTTGCAAAAAAACTTCTGAGGAAATCACAGCAATTTACAAGATTTGGCAAATTATAGCACTCCCGTGGCCCAGTGAAAGAGAAGCGAGGCATCAAATGTAGGTTAAGATATTCAGCTTTCCCTTCTGAGAGTTATCAGGACTCAATAAAACTTCATGTAAAACTGCAATCAGTAAGATGGACAAAAATGGCATGTTCCAGCATGATTATTTTATATAAGAATATACGTGTGTGTGAAAGGACTTTCTTGAAACATTTGCGTGTATTTAAAGGCACCAACCTGGGTTTTACTATTACCCTGAATTGGAATAGGAACGTTTTAGTCCATCCTGAACCCATCAGTCAATAATTTGTCATCCATCCATTCTAGTCAAGTCAAGTTTATTTGTATAGCACATTTCAGCAGCAAGTCAGTTCACACTGCTTTGCACTATAAAAACATATTTGATTTTGGTGATTTTGCCATCACCAAAACCACAAAGCAAATACTCATCAAACATGTTGACCAATGTTCCAGTTACTATTAACCAAAGGCAACTCTCAACAGGTGGGTTTTTTTAGTGGGGTTGAACTTAAAGGAACTCGGTGTTTCAGCAGTTTTGCAGTTTTCTGGAAGTTTGCTCCAGATCTCTGGTGGATAAAAGTTAAAAGCTGCTTCTTCATGTTTGGTTCTGGGAACGCAGAGCAGACAAGAACCAGAAGACCCGAGTGGCCTGAAAGATTGATACAACAACAGATCTTTAATGATTTTGGTGCTAAACCATCCAGTGATTTATAAACTAACAAATATTTTGAAGTTTCTCTTCTGTTTATTCTCTATTCTAGCGTCTCCCATCCATTCGTGAACCCTTCTGTTCGCCTCTTTCCGTTCCTACTTACGGGCTGAAACAGAAACGGATTTTGAAGTCTTTAAATGAGGAATTTTGATCAGAAAAAATGTGCTGGAATGTTTTTCTTTAAGCCCTTATAATTCCCCGTTCATTATAAACACATCGTCCCTCTGACGTGTAGCACCACATCACAAATATGTAAGACACAACAAAATCTGTTGGAGGCATTTTGCGAAAGACTAATACGTGTTTGTGCCATGATACTGTCTAATAGTGTTGCATCATTATTCGGCGCCAGCTTTTAGTCATTGCCCTTGTTTCCATTCAAAGTGTTCTTCCTAATTGGAGCCGTCACAGTCACTTTGGCTGATTGACGCCTGTGGAAACAGTTAAGGCCCGGCTTGATAAACAGAAGTGTTTTCCTGGCTTTTGTCTGAACCATCACGGCATGGTCTGGAAGCATGTGTTTTCCTTTACGCAAGACAACTCATGTGAGAATATTGGCAATAAAACTCGCAAAAGAAATACTACGGAGGGGCGTAAAGTGAAAATCTTTGGATAGTTTAGCTGGAAGACAAACGGCATAGTTTTGGAGAGATTTTTTTTTTTCAGCCGTGTCTCCCTGTCTGTTGTGTTTTAACAGGACAGTTTCTGACTGCTTCAGACGAGGCTTGTAAACATCACTGAACTGCTTGGTGCAAGATAAAAATCTAAAACCTGGCACCTGCGTCATTCACATGAAAGTAATTTAAGAGTGGAGGAATTAAAATCTGACCTTTTTAGTGAATTCAACCTTTACTAAGATGCTTATTTTTGGAATATGAGAAAACAAAAACAATGTTAACATTACTTTTACAGCATCATTCTCAAAGACAAATCCTAATAATGTTTTGTTTTTTTATGTTGGCACTAATACACAGCAATGCATAAGAACATAAGCAAGACCTGAGTTTTAAAGATGGAGAGGTGAGATGAAGGAATGTGTGTTTTATTGACACTCTGTTTCATTAGATTTTTCTAAATGTGGACTGTCTTTTGACCTCTGGAGACATTAACATCTTTAAATTGATATGTGCACAAACAACATTTTTTTGCTACACAAACATTTGACACCAGTTGTTTATTTTGAAGAGAGGTGAAGGAGAAGGGCTGCTTCACTCAGATCATCTTACCTTTGAATTCTTTGAATCAGGGTCGAAATCAACTCATATTCCCGTTTTAAAATCTCTTTCAGGTTATGGACTTTGTGCTGCAAAGGCTCAGTATCCCATCGCTGAGCTGGTAAAGATGCTCTCAGAGGCTGGCAAGAAAGTCAGGTACATTTCTGATTGACTTTTAATAATCAGAACAAATCTCCAGAGAGCTCTATACTGTCTCTTTTATTTGAATACAACATACTAATGTTACATATTTATATTGTCGGAACATTTGCATTTTTCTCTGCTCGGCTGACTGAGTAAAGAGAAAAAGAAAAACGAGCCTTGTACATTTTGCTGTGCTTCTCCGGATAAAATGCACCAAGCCATGACTTTTAAGACCAAGTTATTCACCACATCATGATTTTTGTGTGCCGTTCCATCACTGTTGTTTGCCAGTTTGCTTGCCAGCCAAACACAATGATATCACCATTAACACACTTTTTTTTTCTCGTAGTGTGGGCAGGTGCCAAGTTCTCCTGAGACAAATAAATCTGTTAGGCTTGCAAGCAAATGGAACCAGTAAAATGTGATTGTAGACGGCTGCTCTGGCTTTAGACCTGGTAAAACACCCCCAACCCTGTGTCAAGACTCCAAGGCCACGATTTGCTAATAAGTTGCAAAATGCACTTTTCATCTAAAAAGGAGTCTGTGGACCACTCGCTTTAACACAAGGACAATCGAAGCCTTTGTGGTGGCTCTTAAAGCACTTAAAGAATCTCCCCTCAGACTCTCTTTAAGGGTTTTGCTTCACAGTCCTCTCAAATCTGCAATCTCCCCGTTTGTTGTGCATGTTTTTTTCTTACTATGCTTTATTCTTGCAATTAACATTCCATTATTGTTTTGTATAAATCACAGCTTGTTTAAAAATGACCTTATGTAGCTTATCGTGATGTGCCTTGACGGGTTTCTACATAATACCTGTCTTTGCTGTGTTTATGTTTCTGGTTCTTAAAAGTATGTTGTTTTTTTTTTTTTTTCATATGATGTGATAAACTGGATTTTGAGTTCCGAACAACAGAAAGCCATTGTGATCAGTATTATAAATGCTATAAACAACATAATGAGTTCAATTGTTTTTAGTTTAATTATTGACATAAATCAATTTTTCATTGATTTTGTAATTTATGGAGATGCACCTGTGTAGCTTCTACAAGAAACTCACATTTGCAAAACTCTCCCTTTGGGGTTTAGTTTATTTTTTTTATCATTATTTCAAACATTTTCTTATTCACAATTCAAATGCCACAATATAAATTGTTCCACAACTATATGCTTGAAAAGGAGGCATGTAGAAATGTGAACTTATTCAATCCTGCCTCCTTTCTTTTATGTCTTATTTTTTACACATTATTTTTTACTTAAGAAAAAAAAATGTAGCTTTAGAAATAAGTGTTTATTACTTATAGTCAATAAAGAACCACAGAAGACATTGTAGATTACAATGATATGATTGTGCTGATGTTCTACTGGTAGGTAATAAACGATGGTTGCTGCTTCCATCTGGCTGATAAGAAAATGGGATTGCATGTAGAGACCAGTGTGTGTTTGTAAAGAAGGAAATGCTAACGAGGGACAGAAAAGGTACAGCGGAACCTCGTCTAATTTTCCTGCCTCTGCCGTTTGATCCTGGCCGTGGCAGCTGCTGCTGCTTAGAGCATTTGTGCCTGATTAGAGGAAAGTGGGTGGTCAGAGGGGGAAAAAAAAGTAGAAAACATTCAGGTTTTTTCTTCTGTTTTGTCTTCTTACTCTGTTTCCTAATTTATCCCTTTATTCCCAACAGCCTGTGTAATCGTTTGTGTCTTTCTTGTGTCTCAAGCAATCTGCCTTTCTGTTGTTGTTCGTTAGATGCAGCAATACAACACAAAATGCTGATTCTTCTGAGATCAAAGCTCCACTTTCTTCTTCCCTTAATCCTCATCTAGAACATATGCAGATCGGCTTGTTTGCTAGAAACAAGAGTTCTTTTAAACTCTGCTTGAACGGCGAAAGGAACAAGCAGTCTTCTACTAATTACCTAAACTGATTACATGTCATGGTCAATTGAGTTTGAGAACTGTGCACAAGTTACAAACAAGAGAGAGCTCACTAATCAGATGATGTTTGTGAGAGTTTGCCGTGATCTGATTGTTATTGCTCATATCTCTCAGATTAATTTGTCCACAAACTCTTTCGATTTATTTTGAATCCTCCTCTTCTCGATTCGGTTTATTTTGATTCCTCCTCGGCCGCCTCCGACATCTCTCCTGTCCAGTCAGAATTGTTTTTTGTAAAGTAAGGTTTTTGTGCAAAGTGAGGACCTGCGGTGTGTTTTCCTCCAGGTTCGGTATTCACCCCGTCGCCGGCCGTATGCCCGGTCAGCTCAACGTGCTGCTGGCCGAAGCAGGTGTCCCGTATGACATTGTCCTGGAAATGGAAGAAATCAATGAGGACTTCCCTGGTGAGGCCAGCTTTTTGTTTTCTTACACACTTTTAATACAATTGCTCTTCAACTCATGGTGGCATTTTGCAGACAAAACGAATTGAACTGTAGGAATGAATATGAAAATGTGGAATTGACTGTTACTGAAGTCTGAAGCTTTTATTTTAATTTGTAAAGTATTGTTCATTTAGTTAAGATATTTTAAATGAAATAATTTTCCCTCTTTTGTCATGCATCTTCTTGCATGCTCAATTGTAACTACTTTGGTTTTGTGGTGGAACACCTACATTTTCATGCTTATTTATTTGATTCTTTCTTCTGTTAACCCTTCGCTCTCCTGTTTCATGCCTCTATCCTTTGCTTTCCCCATCTCCCTCTTTTTCTTTCTCTCTCTCTCCTGTGTTCCTTGATTCCTTTCTAATGTTTCTTCTTCCTCTCCCTTTCTTATCTTTTTCACTCCTTCACAAATGTGTCCTTTCTTTACTGTGTCTTTTTATAAGTGTAAGGAACAACACTTACATTCTTTCCTTGATTTGTACCTGTCTCTTTCTTTCTTCCCTATTTTTCCCTTTTTGAGTCTTCTTTTGGTATTTTCAATTTTTTTTTTAATCCTTTGTACTTTAAGGTTAACTCAAAAGGCTGAGAATGAAAGAAAAAAATCTAAATGCCGAACAAATGTGTTTAAATGCCTCAAATTATCTTTTAAGTTTGCTTCACACACTTTTAAAAATATGGATTAAGTGGGCCCACTTTCTCAGCTGCGCCTAATTAGATACATCTGACGTTAGTTCTCACCAACTCTGCTCGAAAAGTATGTAAATTGTCTGTTGTTTTCTGCTGTTTTATGACAACTCAGTCCAACACTTGAAATACATATACAGTAAATAATAATAAAAAAAAAAAAACACACACACACACAAAAAAAAACAAGCTGTACTGCAGATGTGAAACACGTGCAGAAAGGTGGTCTTTAAAGCTGTGATTCGTTCCGTGTGAAAACAGAAACTGACCTGGTTCTGGTGATCGGCGCCAACGACACAGTGAACTCGGCCGCCCAAGAAGACCCCAACTCCATCATCGCTGGCATGCCCGTGCTGGAGGTCTGGAAGGCGAAGCAGGTGAGACATCTGGCGCAGGCGGGATAATCAGATCTGTCTCAAACCCCAAGGAGATGATGACAACTGGGAGGTTTTTACAGCAGAACCGTGTCCATCTGCTGGCCCACATTCAGATCGTTATGAGTGCAGGTGCAGCCTCATTCTGATCCTATTAGAGTGGAGTTTGTCCTTGTGAAATGATGTGAAATGACATCATTCAGAGCGTCACATGTCACATTGATGTTGCACCAAGGGTGTGAATTTACCCCCCCCCCTTTTTTTTTTTTTTTTTTTTTGTTGAAAGGGACATATGCAAAATTCACATTTTGCAGTTTTTTACTTCCATTTTGGTTCCTGCTGCTTCCAAAAACAGCCCAACTGTTTAAGAAAAACACCCATCTGTTTTTTGACAATAAGTTGATGTTTTTTTTTTGTGTGTCTAGAAATTAAGCCGTTTCAAAAACCTTTGGAATGTAAAGTCACAAATCAGCAATTTTTTGTACAAAAAAAAAAAATTAATGAACATGTTTTGTATAGCCAATAAACCTGACCCAACCTGTTTACGCTAGCATAATAGATCATATTTAATATTCTCTCTGGAGAAATCAAAGGAAATAAAAGTTTTTGCCTCCAATTTTTCTCTAAAGCTTTCTTCCTTAATGATCAATTTGTGTTGCTGCAGGTCATCGTGATGAAACGATCTCTGGGCGTCGGGTACGCAGCGGTGGATAACCCCATCTTCTACAAACCTAACACTTCGATGTTGCTCGGCGACGCCAAGAAGACGTGTGACGCCCTGCAGGCCAAGGGCCCGGGGGCTCAGGTCCCGGAAACTGACCCCCCCCCCCCCCCTCTAACCCCCCTGGTTCAGAGACACCTCCACCTGAGAGCACAAAGAGGAAAAGATTTAAAAATTCATCTCTGTACAGCTGTAACCTCACCAACTGAGATGAGCAGTTTTTTTGGGGATCCCCCTTCCTGTTATCTAAAAATGAAGGAATGTTGTCTTGTGCAGCAGTGGGATCTATACAATAGATACTGTATATTTATTTTTAGCTGATGTAACGGGACATCTTTTATTTCTAGATCATGAGGAAAGGCTGCACTGTAATCAGGAGTTCAACTTTAGACACATTTATTGATTTAAAATAAATAAAATCAAGATCATAGGTGCTTTAACGTGTTAGATATTTTCAGCTTCACATAGTTAATAAGTAAAGAAAAGAAATTGGACTCAAAAGGTGCACCGATAGGTTTTTATCTGCTGTAGAGTTTTATTTTCCCTTCCCTCTACATTCTGATTTGTTGTAATTTCTTCTTCCCCTCCATTGATCTACCTGTAAAGTGTAATAGTGAGAACATGGGAGAAAGTTTTTTACTCTAATAATTTTCAAAAGCATCTGCTTTAAGCGTTTGCTCCTTTTCTTTTTATCGGCTCCGACCGGATCAGAACAAATTTATTAAAAAATATCCCTCCTCTGATCACAGGAGACAGGCGTTGTTGAGCTTTTAGCGTGATCCCACAGCTTTGCTGAAACGTCCTGCTCTTACAAACACTCTCATCGCTCAGATTAGCTGAAAGGATTTTGTTATGTTTTCCATCATGGTGCGTTCAATCATGCTGCCAGGTTCAGATATTACAGTACATGTTTTTTTTTTTTTGTTTGTTTTGTTTAAGTGAATGTGACTCATCCACTCCAGAGTGCGTCCTCATTACTGCTCCACAGGGAAATGAAGGATCACAGTTTATAAGTAGGACCATTTGTTAATCTGTTGTATCTGAATCTAAACAGTGCGCTTTGTGGAATCGTTGCTACACCACCAACTGTTTGTCTTCATTTTAATTTGACTTTCGACATCTGCTTAATCATGTGCCAATTCAATCTGGATAGTTTCTCAGATGCAGACACACCATTTGGCTTCTGTTTAACCACTCAAGTATTTCTTTAAACAAAGACTAAATCTCTTTGGTATTATTTTATTGTAGCCATTTAATTAGAGTGTATATTGTTCAATTTATCTACTTCAAACACTTAAGAACAACTGTTGGGATAATGATTCATCCTGGGATCTCATGCATTGACCATGACAACTATCCTACCTCTCCATGAAACGACCAACGCCTCTGTAGGACGACGATTTGTGTCATTGCGTCTTTCACATGATTGGACCCAAGTTTGTTTGTTTTTTTCCAGTCACTTTGCTCAGCATGCGAGCTCTAATATTTCCAAATGATCCAGGACCAATATCTTTTTTTTTTTTTTTCTGTTGTATTTTCAGACCTCAACAGTTTGTTGCTATGGTTTATTCTTTTTGTGCATCTCAATTGAGACGTGGCTCTGTAACGTCAACAGTTGCAAGCAAATAGGCTTTCGTAACATTAAAATCATATAGATTGTTGCCGTTCTTGAACAAATTATGTAAGGAAGGATGGTTAAATCCGGTATTTTCCAAGTGTCCCTCCTTTCAACTTCTGCTTTTTGTTCTGCTTGAGGGGTTGTATTTTTGTAAGAAGGCATCATGTTTGTGCAGAGCGACATTGGGATTTGGAAGAGGTATGTTTCAATGCACCATCTTAAGAGGATGAAATGTACTGTGAAACTGTTTTTCCCCCTCTTTTTTTGTCATTGAACATTTTCTTCCCTAATAAAGCTGTATTTACACTAGATGTCACCTGAAGGTATCATTTCTTTCTTCAACTTCCCTGTAAAGGTGTAATTCAGTTTCTCAACAGTAAACAAGTTGCTGTGCAAGACTCCCTATGATGACTTTGTATTTTTTTTTTACCACAGTTTTGGGGTTTATGGCTGTAAAGCAGTTTTTTTCATGGCTTTATGTCAAATCTTTGCAGCAAATACCTGGATTAACGGCAGTTCTTGTTCTTCTGATGTATTGTTTTGTAATCTGACTTTAAAGATCTCAGCAACGTTACCCTTGATCCATCTTGATGGTCTTCATGAGGCTGCAGTCTGCTCACAAATTTTCAACAAACTTATTGTCTTCACAGAACAGAATAGGATTAAACCACACACAGGTGGACTTTATTTTCAAATTAGGTGATTTCTGAATGCATTTTATTGCACTGAGTTTTGTTTACAGATATCACAGAAAAGATCCCGTATACAAAGATGTGGCAAACTTTTCAAGTTTTTTTTATTTTTGAAAAAAAAAAATTTAAAGCATGCATCCATTTTCTTCTACTTTATTTATGAAACCGGGTTTTGCATTATTTGTAAATGAGCAACTATTAAAAAATGAAAGGCAAAAGATTTAGTTTGAAGATGATACGCAGACAATTAAAATATATTTTCTTATCAATAACTTCAGCATGTCCTCCTAATGGGATTGCATGAGTGTATGATGAGGGTTATCACAATGAGTAAAATGTAAATATCTGCAAGCTGCACTGATTGCTATTCATCAGCGCAGATTTAACTGGAGGTGCTTAAGACGGCACTGCCCAAACAGCAGATCACAGCGCAGATAGGGGTTTTGGAAGAAAAGATTGCATGTGTGCAAGATGAGGGTGGCTTCATCCTGCAACAAGTGGCACTCAGGCCGTTATCTCAACTCAAGGTTAGGAAGATCTTGACTGGACTTACAGTTGCGTAGCAGAGTTGAGGGCAACCCAGAGTTTCTAGACATAATAAACAATGAATCATCAACAGGATAGCCTGTCCTCCATAGTAAATGTTGCCCAAAATAAATGTAGGGGGGAAAAAAAGCCTTGCGTGTGATTCCCTTTGGTATTTAATTACGGATGAATGTCTGTGTAGAGTGTGTTTTCCTGTTTGATTGGCTGTGGACTTTCAGGTACTTTAAGTTTTGCATGCAAAGGATGTGAAAAATATCCGAATTTAAAATGTAATTAAGGATAGAAATGTGGGAAAACATATAACAAAACTGACGTAATGTCCTCAAATATTCATCCTGGGAATGCAAAACATTTGATCTGCCAACGTTGTGTTAGCAGGTAAAATCTCTTTTCCCATTTGTGTTACAGATAAATGAAAAGAATAAAGCACTTTCGCACTATTAGATTAGGCAGGACAGTTTGGTTATTGATGCTCAAACTGGATTGCAGTGGGATTTTACATGAAGATGCATGCAGTACTCGGTTCATTCTGCAAAAACAAATATGTTTATGTGTGTGTACATACAAAAGAGCTGTCTGCATGACTTTATACATGTTGAAAGCCTTGCACATCAAACTGTGGTTGAAAGGATATGTACATGGGTGGATGAGGGTCTAGGTTTCAATCTGATTGCTTCAACATAGAAAACTTGTTGCAATGATTGAAATACAAAAAAAACCCAACATGATTAAACCCATTTGTTAATAAATCTCAGTGTTTAAATTGAATCTCCACAACTACTTATTTTTTCAGGAAAACAAAAAAGGAATTCAGTTTTGCACTTTTTTTTTTTTCTTGTGATTTTTAGGTAAAGACCAATGTTCCTGTGGCATTCCACAGGAGCATTGGTGCAAACCAAAATAATGCAAACATTACATTTTCAAATCAAATTAGCCAGTCAACATATAACCAGCTAGCATAAACTGTCTAACTATAACCAGCTAGCATAAACTGTCTAACTATAACCTATAGCTGAGTGGCTTAGGTCATGTTGTCTTTATTGCAGTTCTGCTATAGACCTATACTACTGAAAGACTCACCGACCCCTTTTCTCCTACTCTGTATTTATGCCTTAAAAGCAGTCATTACACCTATGGTGTTTTACCTTTGTTACTTTTCCCCTAAAAGATACACCTGCCCCATTGCCTCTGTTTTTGTCTTAGTCTCTTTGTGGGTCAAATCCTTGGTGGAGATGTTGCTATTGTTTACATTTTGCGCTCTGTTTTTCTCTACAGCAGAATATAGTGTTTCCTGCCTCTAAACAGCTTATATAGTGTTTAGCTGTGTCTCATTTTTAGACAAAACCATTAGTAGAGGAATTGTTGCCAATAATTTTGTAAGACTTTGTGTTTTTTCCCATTGAAAGTACCTCAGGCTCTTTGCTTCTCTGTTAAGCTGTGTCCCTTTCTGTCTTGATGGCTGCCAAGAGGCAGCAACAAATGATGCGTGTAGCTAACTTGTGCGTATTCGTTCTGCTTTCTCCATTGAAAGTGCTCCTGTATTTGTCTCTCTTTTTCTTGAATGCAGTCATTGACAGACCTACAGTTATTATTGTCTTTGTGTACTCTCGTTATATATTTTCTCCTGGAAAGTACTCCTGTGTTCGCCTGCCTCTTTCCTAGATGTGGCCATTGACAGAGCTACTGCTGCCATTAACTTTGTATGCTCTGCTTTTCTCCCTGTAGAGAGTGCCCCTGGCCCTATACATGTGTGTCTTTCTGTATAGAAGTGATAATGAAGCAGTACCACTGGGTCTTGTTTTTTTCTTATTTAGTATTTTAAACTAATGCAAAAAAAGCTATTTTTTCTTCTGAAAGCAACAGCATATACTCTTGACTTTATCCTCATTATTTTATCAGTTGAAAAAGGTCATTATGCACAAATCAGAGATAATACTGCATTATGAGTCATTGGGCATATGGATTTCATCCTTGATCTAGTCTTGGTTTCCTATCCTAAAATCTAAGCTGTTTCTCTCAATCACTTGTTTGGACTAACTGTACTACTGAGCTGTGCTTTAAGAGCATCTCAACCCCCCAAAATGAGGCCTATCAGATTCATGGACACACTTCCTAGCATGCACAGTGTTCCCAAAATATCAGGGTTTTTTTTTTTTTTTTAGCTATGACAGCCAAAGATAGATGTAGGCCATTGAGGAAAACAACTTGCTTCCTTGCTCTTCTCTGCTCAGAATTGGAGAAATTGTAAACATTGTAGGAGTGTGTCCTTTTAAGCTGCTTTTATTGTCCAGCTGGTTCCCAACTTCTGGTTGTAAATTGCTGAGAAGTTGGGACTGGAGGTTGATGGCAGCAGCAGGAACAGATGGGAGGTTAGAAGTAGGGAGAGGACATTTTCTCTGACTCAAAATTGGAAAAACATTTAGGTTAAAGCTTGTATATGTCTGGGCATTTGTATGTCGGCTTATGAGAACCATTAATGCATAGGCATTAGGACCGGAGAAAGAAATGTTTATTTAAACATCTTCCCAAACTGCTCCTCCGCTTTAGCTTGTTAATGTCTTCTCAGCAGTCGAGAGTTG